GAACAAACCTTATAATAAAAAAATGAACAAGCATAGGAATAATGACACTGCAAGGGTAAAGAATAACTTTCTTTACCAAAAAGAGCTTGAATCTTGAAATTGAGTTAGGCCGATTAATTTGATGTAATAATCCTGTTACAAAACACAAAAGACAGAATTGTCCAGTGTATAGTTTACGAGTCTAATTTTTCTTTATAGCTGATTCCCATAAACTCAAGACTAAAGCAGCCAAAGCTGAGAATGCAATTGACATAAGAACTAAGCTTTGCAAGCTGAGTGTTCCCAATTCAAAAATGTTCCAGAAAATGCCAACTGATACACACAAATGGGAACAATATGGGAGGACACAACTGTTGTTACATTAATCTTTATAAAACAGTATAGAAACAATTGAGCTACAACATTCGAGTATATGTATATTTTTTTGGTAAAAAATAATAATAATAATAAATTACCGTTGTTCATCATCAGGCAGCTCCTCTAGACCACGTTGTGCAATTCTATAATACAAGATACCCATTGTTGCCATGCAAGCCCTGCATGCATCAACAATCATCATGATTCATGTTTATTGCATACTCAAAACCCGGTAGTCAGGGAGCATAAGAACTACAGAATGTTAATTAATAGACCCAGAAAATGATGCAGAAGGTATTACATGATTGCTATAAAAAGGAGAATTTTTCTTGGATCCATTCTTGATGATCTGTGATGGCGTGTACGACCTTCTGGCAAACCATCTGTAGCATTTAATGCTTCTTTTTTAGATGGTGCAGTTACAGGTAGTGTTGGTAATGCACTTGACCAAAAAGGCAGCAGAGATCTAAAGAACTTGTGTCGAAGTGTACCTGCAGATAAATAGATGTTGCTTGGTTTACTTTGAGCAAATCATTACTAAACAGTATCAACGACAATATAGCATAACTTGCAAAAACTAACCAAGTAAAGCGAAATTAGAAATTTTCAAATCCAAGTAGCTTAGACTAACTTTCCTTTGACTTGAATACCCTACTTTATGAATGGTAAAAATAATTCCCACACTAAAGCGAACATGTTCTCACCCCTTCTTGTGTACTTTTTGCGGTTACCATCTTCATCATCACCATAATATGGAATTTCAGAATTTTGCCTTTCAACTTGTAGTGTGCTCTTTCGTGTGGTAGCCCCAGGCTGGTAGCGTGTCATAAAAGAGAGCACATAAGAACAACTATATTATTCTCCTATGCATATTTCCAAGTTATGCTATACACAAGTTTAAGTTGTTCCACTGTAGTACACTAGCACGCGTGTGTCAGGTGTGTGTGTGTGTGTCTATACTATATATGAGCATGTCTATACATATTTATGGAGAGAGAGAGAGGGGTCAGTCTTGTACAATTACTTATCTCCAGGGAGTAAACAATGCACTAAATTACACCTATACTCACAAGGTACTCCAACTTGTTGTCGTAGTTCATTCCAGTACTTCTGTCAACCACACATTAGACACGTTAGACAATGCTACAGAGAGAAGTTTGGATACTTTGTGAACTCTGGTGATAGTTGGTGTACTCTTTTACAATGTAAGGCCAAGTTGATGTACTCAACTGACACTTCCTAAAAAACAATTGAATATTGCTGAGCTCCCTATATAACCAATATCTAACAATTACTTGTAGTATTAATAAAAGACACTAGTTTACTCATCAACCACCGTTACCAACATCTCATCAATTTGAACTTTTTACACTTTTTGACAAGCTTGCAATATTATTACTTCCACTTGAAACATCGAATATACATGTCTATATAATCATAATACATACCTTTTAAAGAAGAAAAAATGATTACACAAAATGGATCTTAACCGGTTAGGTATCATTGAAGGTGAACTTATCCATTTGATTTTGTTTTAAATATGACCTAGACAAACCATAACTACAAAATCTAAATAAAGACAAGTAAATTTAAAAAAAAAACAATTAACCAATAATTTAATATTGATCAAATGAAAACACTAGATAATTCCTAAAATAATGTATCAATTAAGTTGACAAACTAGGATAACACACGTGAATGCACTCACTCTGTCCATTTCTAAAGCTCCCGCTTACCCTATTTGTGTGTTCCAAAATAATGTTCTTATTGTTTTATTGGAAACATTTATGTAGGTGATGTCCTGATACTCTTTCTGAATTTTTAAAATAAACCTTAAGTCCTTAATCACACAATTTTGCTTAATCTGTGTGCCCATTTCTTATGGGGATATCATTATGGGATGGAAGGAGTGCCTGCACATCGAGAGATCAACTTTCTAAAGATTAAAATGTTTGGCATATTTGTATTTTAACTAGATACTCGTTTCTGCAAAACCTACTCTCTTATAAATATTGTCTCAACCTACCTTGTTGGGTAAGCCACCTCAATATAGACGATTAACCTGATTTTTTTTCTAATTGTTTTTTTTTTTTGAAGGATTTTTTTTTTTTTCTAATTGTTAGTTAAACACTTTTCAAAAATTTTAAAGAGTTAAAAAGTGATTAAACGTTAGCTATAGAATATGGAAGTCTATTTTATATTAGGTGCTAGATATTGGATTTATACTTTATAGGGAGCTTAGCAATGTTCATTTGTTTTCATAAAATAATGCCTGTTCAGTATATCAACTTGGTTCTAGGCTAAAAAGAGTAACTTATGACAAAGTTCACAAAGTACCCAAAATTGTCTCGGTAGCATTGCATAGATACTTCCGTCTTACGTGTAGCTGACAAACTAGGATAACACTATGGAAACAAGTTGGAGTATTTTGTGAATTCCGGCAAAACTAAGTGTACTCTTTACTCTCCCAAGCACCCCAAGTACAAGTGCATGTACCAAACCATCTCTCTCTCTCTCTCTCTCTACCATAGGTCTCTCTAATACGATCTTACAGCGGGAGGACTTGAGCTTTTAGTGAAATTGGCCTCATGACTGGTCTGAGTTGAAGCTGAGTTTAGTCCATCTATTTGAACAATACCCAGAGCTGATGGGCTTAAGGAACCTGTTTTAACGGCCTCTATACCCCCTGCTGTGATATCTTTCCCAGAGACTCCAGCTTCAGAAAAGTGTTTCAATGGATCTGAAGAAAAAGCAGGTGGAGGACTACGAGAATCTGTTGGAGGCAATGAAACTGGATGATTTCCAAACAAACTTTTCTCCAAGCCAGTCTGGACCACATCAAAATTAATAAGACAAGCTCAGGCCAGAAATTATGTCTTTATTCAGTCTGTATATATAGCAAAGTAAGTACAGATTACTCATTATAAACAAGAGGAGTTTGCAATGAATATGAAAAAAAAGTCTGCAAAACAACTCTCATAACAACAACAAAACTCACCTGCATTATTGCTTCTTTCAGTTTTAAATGAAGACGTGACCCAGAATCTTTGACACTTTTAGGAGGCCATATCTATAGCAATAGAAGCAAATCTTGACATCAATAATGATTTAGGACAGACAATTATACATAAAGAAAACTATAGTCATGTGGGATCTTGTTAGATTCGTCTCGGCATATAAACTTTTTTAATAGCAACTTTTTATAATTTTTACCAAAACAAAACTGAATATATTAATAATTTACTTTATGCATTGGCAAACGTTAAAATGCTGATGTTGCATTTATTTAAGAACAGAGGAAGTATCATTCTATTGATAAAGTCTCACTGGATCAGGTAAACTCTCAAATATTTCTCCAGTGCACATAAGATTATTCTAGAGAATCAGACATTTTCTTTTCTTTTTTGAAAAAGGATAAGCATACAAAAGCAGCAACATAATCATTCAGTGATGGGAAAGAAGACCATGACAGTGACTCACTCTAACTTATTAAGAGAGCTCATGACAGTGAATTTTTTAGTCTAGCTCTAGGTGGTTGAGTGGTTCAAATTTACAATTCCTGATTTTTAAAAAAGTCAAATATCACATACCAGTTATTGGTAGAAAACACTTTGATATTAACGTCTTTTGCTATAAGATTGGAATACCTCATAAATCAAAATGCTTAGAATCTGCTGCTAAAACTTACAGAAGTTGAACAGGCTGGACAGACATAACCAGCTGGAGCAGTTTGTGGTGGGAACCCTTTAATATGTGAAACCAAACAATTTGTATGCATGACATCTATAAAAAGCAAATAAAGAAAATGTAAGAATACTCTAGATGGCAATGTGAACATGAAAACAAACTGGCAGGGTGGTCGGATCAGCATACGCAGGCACCCCAGTCGAGTAGTTTGAGTATCTGTTGTCTCTTCAAGCACAGCATGACAGAAACAACAATTTGGAGGCCAATCATACTCTCCATTTATAACCCATTCGGAATATGTGCGTACCTAAGGTGATGGAATTCTTTTCATTAAATATTAACAGGAGAATTACGAAGTGCCTAAAATGTATGTGCTTCAACTTGCTAAAACTAAAATAAGAAGAAAATGAATTAGAAACAAAAACATACCACACATATATGGTGCTCCGTGAAGGATATGCATTCTCCACACACTGGAACCTTGTGTACAAAACAGTACAACTTGGTTGCCTGAAATTCACAAAAATCACAACTCAGCAATTCGATCAAGCCACATTGTAAACACCTAAAGTCAAATTTTTAAATTCAATGATTATTAGCAATCCTACTTTAAAAAAAAAGTATTACCAATCCTAATATCCAAGAATTGGGTTCGTGGTAGAAAAATGTTCAGGTAATGCTATAAACTGAAAAAAAAATGCAATTTACGAGTGCGTGGGAATACTCTTTTATATTCCATTGAAGGGTAATTTTGGAATTCCTGAACCTTTCCAAGCCCACGTCCTTATTCATTAGCCATCCACCAATGATCACTTAGCAGAAGTTGAGAAAAGATGGGTATGTGGAAATTCAATACAGCAAGCACTAAAGTTCAAAATCAAAACAATTTATATTCGTTCTTATAGAGCATTGCATAAAACCATTGATCAGCTCAACAAAACCAGCTACACGCAGAAATTCGGGCCCAGACTCAGCAACCAATATACATTCATTTAGGAATAATACGAGTAAAAAAGTTAATGATTTAATTAAATTAAAATGAATGCGTCAGATTGCACATTTCTATCTCTGACTCGGCTAGATCTAATTCTACAAATGAAGTACTCCATGTTATATAAGGAGAGAATTATTAACGCTTTACCTTCCGGCATTTACAGACCACCATTGCAAGCGCTGAATAGGAGAAGGCTTAAGCGATATCGAGATCGGAATTTTGCAATGGAGATATCTTCTAGGGTTTTAGCTCGGAGGAATTGGAATTTCTGAGATCGAAAGCGGATTGTAAGCATAACTTCCATTTTACTTACTGCGTCAAATTACAAAATTAATAAAATAGTCGTAAAGTAAATAAAATAAAATAAAATAAAAACCTTCATCCTCACTAATTAAACCTTCATCTATCCTACACAATCTTAATGTTTATTAATGTGAAACTTGCACTAAACAATACTAAAACATTAATCATTTCCTAATATAGTATTATAGTACTTAAACTTTTTTATTCTCTAAATAATATTTGAATAATGTCTAGTGGAGGGAACATGTTCGGTAATGATGGACACTTAGCTTGAACAATGTCTAAGAGCATTAGCAATGGCAAGTCAAAAAATGGAATAACATACGGTGACGTGGAGCATTTTAACCAATCAAAAAGAGTCCAGTCAGCGTGTGGCGAGTGAGTAGAGTGGCATGTCATGCAGTAGCAAGTAATTATTGTTTATACTTTTGTGACATATTTTAATTATAAAAAAATTTTTACTTATTTTTTTCATAAAAATATATGCACTTCATTTTTTTAAAAAAACAACCTTTTTTCTACAAATAAAAAAATAAAAAAATAAGAAAACAAAAGAGAAGAATGGCTCGCCCAAGCCATGTCTTGCATGGAAGAATACACAAGCCACGCATGGCAAAATGGGTAAATTGGTGATGTGGCATGGCATGGCAGACATTTGCCTCGCCAGTGCCAATGTTTTAATAATGATGAATATTTACTTAAACAATAACTAATGGTACTACATTCGAAAATAAAAATATATGATATTATTTTAGAAAAGTCTTTATGTTTTAATACTATTTAGATAAATTCTCCTTTACTAATACATACATACCTCCTCCATCTCTAAGTGAATTGCACTTTATACAAATTGAGGTAAACGTTTAAGTTTTTTCGATTTATTTTATTTAAAAATTGGTAAAATATAAAAAATAAAACTTGCATATTTAAAAAGTACATAAAAGATTTTACAAAACAGGAAGTGGCAATAATATTTTAGTTCTTCAAATAATCATTGAAAACGCACTCATAAATAAAAGTTTTCGTGATTTGTAAATAGTAAATAGTGTAAAACATTTGGGACAGAGGGAGTATAAACTTATTTATTCAAATTTAGTCGGTACAATTGCAACCACTTGACCTAAAGTCACTCCGCCACTTTTCATATTGGACTACGTATTCAGTATTCACCCTTCAAATTCATGTTCTATCACATGTTCAATACTTCAGATATTTTATATATTTTTCAAATATTTCTAGCTAGAAAGATAAATTCTTTTATCTTCCTTTACAAAATCTTGAGTTTTTATCATGGTTTCCATAAATACGTATGATATCTCCATATACAAACTCCATATATCAACAAAGTTCTCCATTGCTAATACTCCGTATATTACTAAAAAGATACAGGGTATGTGATTTTCTACCGATTCTATTTTTCTTATAAAAGTACCTTGTAGTTCTTTTCCTACTTTGTCTGGCGTAATTTGTTAGAGTAGTTCAATTTTTTTTTTGATAGCGTAGTTCAATATTTTTAATCCTATCAAGAATTTTCAAAAATTTAAAAAACGGGCCAATATATGGATAGTAACTCCAAGTATGTTCTTGTTCAACTGATGTCTAGGTGTCCAAGTTTAATTTCAATATCATCTTGTTTGTTGCTAAACGTCATTGTTTCAAAACGAGTAATTTTAGAAGTACACCAAAAGTGTATCAATTTGTACACCAAGTTCCTCCTCAAGAGATTTCTTATTCACTTTTTCTCTTCATAGCCACATCAAAAACTATGTGGTGAAGAGCATAGTAGTGTATGAATAGAGTATATTTTTGTTTCAAAACGCCTCCCTTCCCAAACGGTCAATATTATTCAAAAAAAAAAAAAACCCCTATCGCGGCCTCTAACCTAGCTCTCGAACTGAACAGAACACCGACGGAACCATGACGGCGGGCCCCTTGTCAGCTGGTCGGGAGCTATCCGATCCTCCGAAGGACGGCATTTCCAACCTCCGCTTCTCCAACCACAGCGATCTACTCCTGGTTTCTTCCTGGGATAATGTGAGTTTTAGTCTCATACTTTTCTATATCAGGAGAAAATCATCGTATTTCATTTTCTGAGTTCTTCTTTTGAAATTTTGTGTATTTTTTATATTCTGTTAGACTGTTCGATTGTACGATGCCAGCGCTAATGCGCCTTCTACCTTGCGAGAAACCTTCTTGCACGGAGGTGCGGTGCTAGACTGCTGTTTCCATGATGATTCTTCAGGTTTTAGTGCCGGCGTTGATTATACTGTTAGAAGGTACCCAGTAGATCCTCTTTTGATCCTTTAAAGGTTCTTCGTTTCATTATATTTTGGTAAATATGATAGTCTAATGCCTTATTAGGGTTGTTATGTAGGCGAACCCGTTGGTACCTAATTCATTCATGATCTTGCATCTTCATTTACTAAGGCCATGTTTGGTTGTCAGTAATGCTGCACAGTATTCTGTTTTTTAACATTTGACCTTAAACAACGTTTTTGGTTGGTCAAAATGCTAAGCAGAAATTAAATTGGCATTTTGAATTAGCAATATGTGGAGCAAAATGCTCATAGGCAGTTTGCTTAAACATATAATTATAATGATTTTGTTATTTCTATTTAATCTTCCTTTTTATAGTGTTAAGTAATTTTATACTTTCTCTGTCCATCGAAACGTTGCCATGTACAACTTGCCTTAGACTAACAAAATAAAAAGTGGGTGATTAGGATTTATTTAGAAAAGAGACAAATAAAAGAACCCCAACTTTCATGGAAGGGATTGCTCCATAGGTGAAAGGTGATGATATTAAGTACGAAGTAACACACTTATTGGTGGTTCGGTGTGGTATACCAAAATATTTGAGCTCATATTATTACCTTACTCAAAAATAACAATTTTGGCATACCAAATTTTGGTTGCCCAAAGTATTAGTATGAACACAGCTCATAGTGTGCTATGCCAAAATTTTGGTATACCTATGAAATTTCGGCAGAGTGGCATGCCAATTTTTTTGTTTTTGTAAAATTCTGTAATCTGGTAAAATTCTGGAATACCGACAAAATTATGCTGCACTTATAAAATTTGGTATACCAAACTATGATACACCAGTCCTCATACATAATACTGGTATTTTGGTATATACCAAAATACAACAAACAACAACAACCCAGTTGAATCCCACGAGCGTAGGGTCAGGGAATATACCAAAATACTTAATATTTTAGAATTTTACACTGATACACTCTTCTTAGATGTCCCTACCTAGTACACTGTGGGCCTTTGGGGCTTATTCATTAGGACTAGTTTCTGGGTTCACGTGGTGCTTAACAGTTCAGTAAAATCTTAATTCGTGCCTTAAATATGAGGTTTTTATGCAGTATAAGAACTATTGAAATATATAATCATGTATTGGTTAGTACCTTGATTCATATTCTACCTGTTTAGGTAGGGTGAATTCTTAAGGCTTGCATGCACTCACATCCCAGACCCAACTTCCGGGACTACACTGGGTTGTTGTGGTTAGTTCATTGATTCATATTGAAAACACTTCTGACTTGTGTACGGCTCTTATGCCTATTGTGTCTAAAATGCTTACTGTCGTCACTGGAAATTTTTTCTCTTGGTTATTCAGACTTGTATTCAGTCATAAAAGAGATGATATTTTGGGGAGGCATAATGCACCTGTTCGCTGTGTTGAATACTCATATACTGGTAAGTGCTTTAAATGTAATGGCTATACATATGTTGAGCAACTATTACTGCTTGGTGCTTAATACTTCCTGTAAGTGTTTTGTTTTACAGAGCATTTCTTTAGTTTTAATGTTAAAAAAGTAATTCGTATAAACCGAGTGATTCAAATGATTGGGAGACTGTCAGACTGGGAATAACAAAATTCACAACAAAACAAAAAACTAGTCACTTTAAGGTTTTTTTTACCACAGGTGATTTAATCTGATATTGCTGATTTGTATTATTGTCTATTGATATCATTCATTCATTCCTTCATTCTATTTGGCTTAGAAAAAAAGAGAAAAACATGTGATTTTTGTCCATGATAGGACAAGTGATCAGCGGTAGCTGGGATAAAACCTTAAAGTGTTGGGATCCAAGAGGTGCTAGTGGGCAGGAACACACTCTTGTTGGGACATATGCACAACCAGAGCGTGTTTACTCTCTGTCTCTTGTTGGCAATCATTTAGTGGTAGCTACTGCTGGAAGGCATGTTAATGTTTATGATCTGCGAAATATGTCGCAACCTGAGCAACGGAGGGAGTCGTCACTGAAATATCAGACAAGATGTGTACGTTGTTATCCTAATGGAACAGGTAAACTTCTAAAGCCTCATCAATTTCTATACGTGAGGGCTGTATTGACACTGCTTGATTTTAAGCCTTTTTTAGTTCATGGTTTTATACCAAGGTAATCTGGTCTTCTGGTCGGTCCGTTGAATAAATTCCATATACCTTGAAAGCAGATTGTGTTTTGCATTTGATTATAGTGTAATTTGCAGGCTATGCTCTTAGTTCGGTTGAAGGTCGTGTTGCCATGGAATTTTTTGATCTCTCTGAGGCTGGACAATCCAAAAAGTATTCTTATTCTAACTTGCAATAATACTTTCACCTGGTTAACCGGTTTCTTTATCCAAAGCTCATTTATAGTTCTTTATTGTTGAGTGGGCAGATCAATTTATTATTGCCTTAAAGCAAACACTTGCTGAACCTTATTTGGTTTGCTTCTTTTCTGGTTTTGATATAAATGATATCCCTTAATCTATATTTAGTACAATGGTGTTTTTAAGTTTGAAGTTGCATATAACCGATCGATTCATTAATGTAATTTATTTTTAAATTTTAACACGCAGATATGCATTCAAATGTCATCGAAAAGCTGATGCCGGAAGGGATATAGTGTATCCTGTAAATGCTATCGCATTTCACCCCATGTAAGTGTCTGGTACCATAACTCATGCCTTTCCAAGTAGAAAGAATCATGAAATTCAAAAGATCCAAAAGTATCCAAGTAGAACATTTTTATCAACTTACCATCCCCTCACACACACGCGTGCACACACACACACACACACACACACTCTCTCTCTCTCTCTCAACATTGGTTTATTAAGACGATTGTAGTGGTACCAAAATTTCTTTTTTACACCTCTGTATCCTCCACTGGGAGACTATTCCGTACCGGGGCTTGGACAGACTCCGCAGCTGTAAAGCATTTCGGAGGAAACCGCCTTTCCCAGAGCCTTTGTCATCATGTCATGTAATATTAGAAAAGGGATCCCCTCGGCAATTGCGGAAGTGTGTTGTGTGTGTGGTGTGGTGGGATCAAAATCACTACCTCTTATTTTCAATTTGTCATTCCCAACCCTTTTTCTGTTGTGCTAGGGTACAAAAAAAGGTAGAACCCCCACCCCCATGCCCTCAGGACTGGCGGAGTTATCAAATTGCGGGATGTGTCTCAACTGGCAAAGGTCCAAGGGCTGCCAGACTAAACTCACCTATGGGGGAGCCACGTCCAAGGCAGAGTCGGGATTCGAACTCCCCACTCCGCCAACTGCTAGTGTGGCGGACATTTAAACCACCCTTGTTCTTTGCCAGTTGAGCTATGCCCTGGGGGCAATTGTGCTAGGGTACAGGATTTATTGGTGGCAACTGGCAACTTTACATATTTCTTGATGGCTTCTATTTGCATTCCTTTTCCTGCAGATATGGTACTTTTGCAACAGGAGGCTGCGATGGATATGTTAATGTTTGGGATGGAAACAACAAAAAGAGGTTATATCAGGTAATTACTTACGGACAAGCTCTTTAATTTCTTCAGATACACTCACTCAACAACTACCCAGTATACTCTCAACACGATTAGATTCTGAGAATCAAAATGTATGCAATCTTATCTGATAAGTGGTTGTGTCCGTATTCGAAGTCTTTAATATCGACATGGGGTGAATTAAACCTTTTAAGAATCTGAAACTTGGAAACTGTCAAGAAAAACATCTCCAAACTATTGGTAATCTCATCATTGTTTTTTGAAAAGTAAAAAAAAAAGAAAAAAACATAAAATCTTCTTTTTATCCCCTAGATAATTTTGAAGTATAGGTATTTTTAACCTTGCACCACACCACTGTTCATTGTCCTCATGATTTTCTATATTGAACCAACCTGTGCAGTATCCAAAATACGCTGCAAGCGTTGCAGCCTTGTCATTTAGCAGAGATGGCAAACTACTGGCTGTGGCCTCAAGTTACACATTTGAAGAGGGCGATCGAGAGTAAGTGGCTCTGCTTTAATTACCGTGTCCTATCCAAAAATGCAACGATGGACTCAATAAATTTTTCGAGTCTGTATAAGAAAAACGACCATCTGAAATTTTTACCTCACGTGTGGGTGTTAATAAAACTCTTTATATATATCTCCTTTCAGTCACGAGCCAGATGCCATATTCATCCGCAGTGTGAATGAAGTCGAAGTGAAGCCAAAGCCTAAAGTATTGCCCAATGCTGCTCTACCTAAAGTTTGACACATCTTTCCATTCTTTGGGTAATTCAACCATCCAAAAAGTGTATTTTACCCTTCTCATCAAATGATTGGCTCCCTAATCTATTGTATACCTTACTTATGGTATAAGTATCACCGTTATTAGAAGAGGTGGTGTACACTATATGCACATCATACCTCCATATTAGTCTCTCTCACTATTCCTTTTCTTCTTCCTCACTTGAGCTCCAAGCTCTATTAATGGTTATCCTAGTTAAGCTCATGTCCTTGTAAAAATATTCCTGAAATATACTCTTTCCTTTTCAAAGTGTATTTAACATTTTTCTTTTTTTGATTATCTCAAAATAAAGTTTCCATTTCTTCTCTATATCAATTTCAACCATATAATTTATTTTTTCTTCGTAAAAGAACAACTCAACTTTAATCTGGGATATAAAGAGTAATCAAATACTTCATTAAGAAAATAATAAAATCATGTCACCTCTTCCTTTGTACGGGTAGAATTTTTAATGTAGCTTTCAAATATATAAATTAAATATTTTATTTCTTGCAAATTCTTAAATAAATTAAATTAAAAATAATTTCAATTAAATATTGTAAATAAAAACACGTAATTTAAATTGGGACTAAGGGGTAATATCTACATATTTATCATATACTGATATTTGATGGGAGATAAAACACCAAATGCAATGCTGTCGATATTGGTTATATATGAGCTACTCGCATAGTAAATACTTAGCAACGAGTCGGAGTGAAAGAGAGAAGCAAAAGAGAGAATGTGATAGCAGTGAATCAATTTTGAGACGCTGTTCAATGGTTTACATACAGGTACTAAAAGGCAGAGATTTTGAGTTTAAAGCCTAATGGTTGCAGTTAGAGACAACCATGAAAAGCATGGGGCTTTTGCAAGTACCATACATGCAACTCTACAACTAACTGTCTGGTCGTGCTGAGGGGCCCTTAGGAATGTGAGTGTCATCTTTTTTTAGAGAGAATCAAAGTTTGGATTTCATATCCCTTTTCAAGAAGGGCGGCGATGTCTTTATATTACTCCCTTAGTCTCAAGTAAAATAACGTCTATCCTATTCACATGATCAAACTTTTATATTTTCTTTACCTATCTTCGTTATTTATTTGATAAAACAATATAGTAATGTCAACATTTGTTTTGTAGAGCTTTAGATGTAGATTTTAAATATGTAAATTTTTTTCATTCCACCCAATTGCCGTATAAATCGAATGAAACATAAATTTAGTCAAATATCCTAAATCGAAACATGTCATATAGCATTTTTTGTGTTGATTTTTCTGACATATGACGCGTCCCACTATCCCCCTTATTGGCTAATGCTCGTCCCACTATATTTGTTGCGTTTGTTGTAGAGTGCTTGTTGTGCTTTATGTCGGGATCTTGGACGAAGGATAGGTCTCTAAGAGTGCGTAGGGCCTCACAGAAAAGGAGCGCTACACACTTAATGGATGTTGAGAGTGTTGGTCGGCCAGCTTTCTTTAGTCGACAACCTAGGTGTTTTGACCCCTTGCCACGTCGACCACAAAGGTCAATGATGGGGGTAACGACTGGGGGGAGCGGGTGCTCGCTCATGGATGTTGTATGCTCTCCTTATCCCTTACTTCCTCCATTGAGCTTGGGCCAATGCCCGCTTGCTCAGGGTGTATAGTCCAATTCTCCATCATATCTCCACTCAACAAGTCTCAAGGGACAAATGTTGAATAAAATTTGATGAGTTTACCATCGTAGTAGGACCACAAAGTTCTCTTACAAAAATTGAATCATTATCCAAGCTAAAAAGAAACACTTAAAGCCTGTACTTTAGGTCTTGAACTCTTAACTTCTAGTTTCTTCTAATTTCTTCCCGCTCCTTTCCGTTTCTTCCGGTTCTTCCAGTTTCTTCCAGTTCCTTCTAGTTACTTCCCGTCTCTTCCAATTATTCTCATTTTCTTCAAACTCTTTCTACTCCATAACCAATTACTCTAAAAACGATAAATTATTAATGTAATTATTATTATTATTATTATTATTATTATTATTATTATTATTATTACAACTGTTATGTTCATAACTATAGTTTATAAATTATTTTTTTCATCTCACTATTTTCACGATTCACACATTATTATTTCTTCAACTTTTTAATATGAATAAGACAAATTTTTTGTATATTAATCTACATGATAAAATAGGAAAACATAAAAATGTTAAACTATATTTAAAAAAATTATAAATAAAATAATGACCTAGAATATTTCATTAATCTAACTTTATTTAAGGCCTCTCACCTTTCCCTTTATTACTTAAAATTTTCTCATTTTTCTAATTTTATAAATAAAAATTGAAAGTCAAAATAGTTTAGAGAAAAAAGACTAAAATAGGAGTAAAACATAAAAAATGTAAAAAAAAGTTCTATGTCTTCATTCCAAAAATAGGACTTCAATGAAAATAAAATGTCAATCATGAAAGAAAAAATAGCTTTGATTACATTATGTGACATTTCTGATATTTAAAAAACTCTTTTAATATATAAAGTATAATTACAAAGATATTATTTATAATAAATACTGCATAAATAAATTGAGGTGCAACGTAACCACAAAAACTTTATATATATATATATATATATATATATATATATATATATATATATATATATATATATATATATATATATATATATATCTCTGTGTGTGTGTGTGTGTGTGTGTGTATATATATATATATATATATATATGCTAACTTTATAATACAATTATTTTTTTGCAAAAGTAGTTTTTTGTATTTTAAAAATAGCAATATTTTTTTGTATCTTAAAGACATTCATTAAGATAACATGATGATGATGATCATAATACCAATAATAATAATAATAATAATAATAATAATAATAATAATAATAATAATAATAATTTATAACAAGAAGAATTTAAAATAAACTTTTTTAAAGTTTTTTTAGATTTTTCAATTTTTTGATGTTCTTCCAGTTTCTTCTACTTCATTCCAGTTTTTTTCAGTTTCTTCCAGTTTTTTTCAGTTTCTTCCAACATACAACTCTTTTTTTCTAGTCTTAAAGAACAGGCTCTTGTTGGTGTAATCAACCATTTAGCATTTGATTAGTTGATTAGTTACATAGTTTGTTAGTTAGTTAGGAAGATATTTTTGGTTGTTACTTGTTTTTCATTTTCTATATATAGGAGTTAATCATGTAATACAAAATTTGAGCTAGTTAATACAATTTGATCCTTTCATTTCCAACAGCTCTTAATCATCCAATTATAGTGATTCAAATTATGCTCAAGTAAATACAAATATTCTGACTGCTATCTTGTTCGTTGCAATCTTTTAAATGCATGAAAGCATTTTGCACATGCAAAGAACCATCAATTTCTAACTATTATTGTTTCTACGAAAGAAAAATAATGCAAGTACCATTGTGTTCCATTTATTTATGCTATTTAGGGGTGTCTTCAATCCGGATTCCGATAGATTTTTTTGGATTCTGAAAATCCGTAGGTATTCAATTCAGAATTTAAAAAGTCATTTAAAATCTGAGTGTATTCAATTCAAACTTTAAAAAATCTTTCTAAATATGATGGTATTCAAAAATTGATAGATTTTTAAAGATTTTAAAAATTATGGATTTTGTTGGATTTTCAAGCCTAAGATATAAATATAAATTCATTCCCAAATCTCACCCAAAAGCTAAAGATTTTGAAAAGTCTTTCACCTACCCTCCTTCATCCTCTCCGTCTTCTTCTCCCGCCGGTGCAAGCAGCCTTCATCACTGACTCCTCCACTTCTCCCAATGCTCAACCTTCTCCACTCCTCCCAGTTTCATTGCCGACCTTCTCCACTCCTCTCCCAGTGCTCAACCTTCAACCGACCATCCTTCTCCACATTTATCAACATGTCCTTTTTTCAACTCTTCATAGAATTTAATTACTCTCTTTTTCTATTCATAGATCTCTCTTCACGTATGACACAATAATATTTCCATTCCTTTATGGCTACGAAGTATAATTTTTGCATGTTGATGGGACTCTCTTCACATATCTCCACATTACTAGTACTTTACTTGTTGATGGGGCTTTTTTACCGATGTTGGGGCTTTAGAAATTGGGATGAAAACGGATGAAGTCTTTGTGTGGTGAATTTCTATTTTGATTTTCGAAATGAAAGGAAGCCTATCCGAATTCATTTTTGCAGGAATCTCTTTTTGCATCTTTGGATGGTCAATTAGATAGAATACTATAAAATCCGGTTGATAAAATACATTAAAATCTTCCAAACTCTGCATAGACTTAAAATAATTCATTCATTTTACATAATCCATAAACTTTAAACAATCTATCAAAATCTTTCAGAATCGTGATTGAATATACCCCCCTTAATTTATGTTGCATCGACTTTTCAATATTGAGCATTTTATAACCTTTATGCAATATCACGTAATCATTTTTTTAACTCCGTAGATGATTTGGGTCAATACCATAGTCACATCCATCATCAATATTGAACACAAATTTTACAATATACGGCGTTGTTTCATAGTTCGCACAATAAACCTCACGCACACGGGCTTGTTGATACTTCATTAAATGAGAAAAACAAAGTAGTGCCATTGTTAAAGAAAAGAACTGAAAGATCTAAATTGCAGAACAGAAATAAATTGACAACAAAGCCCCAGAGAGCATAAACCAAGACAACAACCAGTGGTGGTCAGCAATCTGATTTCCGAAATTCATGAACCCCAATTGTTACTGGGCACTTGCACGATTCTAGGACAATGCTCATGGGACCGACTTTCTTGTTTGCGCTCTCAAGTCATTTTGCACCAAAATGTTAACCACCAATTCCGATTCATCAACTAGAACTTTATAATATGTACTACAGTATAAGATTTTACATCTAGTTCTGTTTGTAGACCCTAATATTTGAGTTCAACCCCTAGTTGAGCATACTAAAAATAGGAGTCAGGATATTCACTAAATAAGAACTCTAACACTAACACTACACACACACACAGACATGGAGCACCATATTTACATCTCTCATGTTCCATCAACAAGGCACTATACAAAATCACAACACTAAATGGGATTTACTGCCTCTGAAACCTGTTGTGTTACCTGAAGTAGTAGTTTCTGCTTTATACACTGAAATGGTTTCTGTTTTGTGACTGAGAGTTCCACTTACAGTGCATCCGAAGGAATTCTATTTTCAGCGCCATCTAGACAGAAACATACGGGAAAAAAGAACAAATACATTTAGATTACATATCTACTACTTGAATCTATTGAGTATTGACAATAAAAACACTCCTATCTCCAAGTTGTGTAAGAGTGAGAAGGGTGGAGAGACGACCACTTGTTGACCTGTAAAGGTGTTCGTGATCCAAGAATTCCCATTTTTGCAAAATCCATCAAACGCGGATCATCTAAATTGATTCAAAGAAAACCATTAGTTAATTAATTAAGGATTAAGTGATATGCATGTGGCATATTATTGACATGCATATAGATCAGAGGAAAAGTAGCTTGGATAATGAAAGCATACAAGTATAACATTGTTGAATACACAAACCAATTCAAAGTATAATTTGAAGTATAATACACAAACCAATTCGAAGTATAATTTGAAAAATTGAAAACCCTCAAAGATAGAGCAAAAAGCAGATATGGACCATCAATGTTTATAAAACAAATCTCTAGGAAAGAATACGAATGCTATTTTAGGAACAAACTACGAAGTTGAAACAAAGTGAAATCCTTATAACCTAAAAGGATATGTGGGGTCGGGGGGTCTAACCATCGGTGTGTGGGTGCTTCTCCCCTGTATTGTCTTCATTGCTGCATCAGCAAATGCTAGTGCAGCTTCTGCATCAGCTTCTGCAGCATCTGCTTCCCTGGCTGCCTGTTCAGCTTCTGCTATTGCAGCTTCTGCTTCAGCAACAGCTTCAGCAGCGGCAGCTGTTGCTTCTTGAGGGGTCATGCTTCTCATCTTGGCTAACTCCAAATCAATCTGAGATCTATTGACCAAATTGTTAACACCATCCAAACCAAACTTTTTAGGTGAGATTCTCTCCCTGCCTTCTAGTAGTAGAATGGGATTATTATATTTTTTATTATCAGTCAATGATGAAGGTTGAGCTATCCTATATTTCCTGGAAATCTGCAAAGAAGAAACCACTTATAGTATTATTATGATGATCAACCCTAAAGAGACTAAGGAATGTATATCTATAGAAATGAATGTTTTGTTCAAACCAATAGTCTTTCATAGATTAGATGCAGATAATAAGTACCACACCTTCATAAGTTTCCCAGTGGCAGTCAAATACTTCAGTTTTGCAGAAAGTATCCTTTTAAATTTTGGTGGTGCCCAGTATTGGTCCTACGAAAATAGAGAACACAGATTTTCAAAAGCAAAACTTCAATAATATAGGTCCGGACTCCTAAGCATATAATGTATGCATGACATAAACATCATCCAGATGTTTGCCATTACACTTGTAAAAATCAAGAAGCTCAGAAGACAAGATTTGGCTAAGCTCATATCACCCAGTGTGAGTACCATATGAACAGGTAGTCAAACCAAGCCCCAACAAATCTTTATCAGTTGCAATATATATGGCCCAAGTACATTACAGGCTCAACTTTGATTTTTTGTCACACAAGCATCTATCATCAATACGATAACAACTTGAGCACTAGTAGAGAAGAAAGCCTTCAAGTGTCTAAAGGTTGACGCCGATATACCAAGGTTTTGAAAGGCGAAAACTAGCCTCTAGGCGGTGGAGCAAAATGTCTTGAGGCGTAAGCCTCGAGGCGGAACGAGGCGTAAGCCTCAGTTCAATATGAAAAAAATTATACTAAAGTATGTACACCGAGGTAAAACGAAATGCATGATCCATTTTCGTGTTAAATAAATGATACAATTATAATTCCTGAATTTTACAAAAAATGATACCCTATCTTAATTTTTAAAACACAAAAAATAGAATTATAAAGATTAAACACAGTAACATAAACACAAATGTCTCAAACCCATCTTCAAACCTTATAAATATTAAATATGGACAAAAGTTCACACAAAAAAAAAGTTTAGTCATTCTTTGAAGTTTGAACCAAATTTAAAAGAGGGAGAGGGATGTTGGAAGAGAAGGAACCAAAAAAAATTAAAAGTTAAAAGAAGAAGAGGAAAGAAATAGAAGATAAGCTTTTAAGCATGAAGTAATTGCCTTGGCGGCTACTACAAGAGTGAAGTTCTACCACTGAAGTCTGAAGATGGGGAGACGTACGGTTGAAGATGGAGAGACGAAAGTTGATGCTAAAGTCTTGGAAAGAAGTGTTAATTACTAGGTTTATTAAGTTTTTCTTAAGAAACTATATAGTGCATTGGCCCAAAAGAGTTTTTGTAAAAGAGGCCCAATAGCTTTTTAAAAATAACCCTTATAATTCTTGAAATTCTTATTAAAAGTGAGGCTTACGCCTCGGTTACGCCTTACCGCCTCAGACCACCTCGGACTGCCTCAACATTGTGAGGCGTACACCTCAGGTATCCCTATTGCCTCAGAGGCGAAATGCAACCGCCTTACCGCCTCACTGCCTCGAGGCGGACCGCCTTGGTCGCCTTTTAAAACCATGCGATATACAAGTATCCATACAGTACACCAAGAGTAGTTCAACCTTGGATTACAAATTATCCCAGGAGTATGTTAAACTACGAAAAATTTACCTGTATGTATGCGGCAATAGTTTTCCTGCTAGATCCACCGGGCTCCCTCAAGTTGGTTATAGCCTCCATAACAAGATTGTCCAACCTATACCATACAAAAGAGACACATATAGGCTCTACTAAATCTTTGAAGTAAAAGTTGTGTTTTGCTAGCAGTCACCGAAATCATTTTTCAAAACATCATCATAATTAATAGCAAGAAACATGAAATAAAAAAGCCATAGTACTTCGAAATGAACATTTAAAATTAGAAACAAACACAAGACATGCAAAGCCATTTAGATATTTCAATTGAAAAAAGAAATATCCTTGAAGTGTAACATCCAACACAGCAAATAGATCAAAAGATGCAAGTAATTTACAGCTGTGTAATTGAAAGATCATGAAATGAAAAATAACCTCATGATAGATCTTTTTGTGCTGCCACTATGTGGAGAACCACTAGAAGTTTCAATTTGCTTTCCTTCACTACTTTCCTCCTCACTTTGCGTAACATTTGTAAGAGCCAATGAGCTCTCACCCTGTGTAAGGGCTCGATGTGCCCCTTTTAGTGTCAATTTTGATTTCTCTCGAGATCCTAATCCATTTAACATCACATTCATATTTCTCCACTTATCCTGATCATACCAAATAGATAAGAAATGGATTCATGTAACATTTAATTGAAGAGCACATTTTCAGAAGATTTTATCATTTATGTCACACAAACTGTATAATGCCTTTACTGAAAAAATGGGTAGAGCAATTAGAAGTTGTACCTTGAGATCTACATTTGAACGAGAATATAATATGTCACTATAGTCTGGATCTTTGAGAATAGTACGCCATTTGCCCGGCCCATGCTTACGTACTCCAGCTTTAAGCGCTGCTTCTTCTTCAGGAGTCCATTTTTGTTTAGGAGCACCCATTTATGAGATCTTGACAGATAAAAAACAGAATGCGATCCTTAGAAATGGGAATGCAGGAGTAAATATCCATGGATAACAAGGTTTTTGCAACCAGCATGCTACCAAAAATACATTATACTGTGTTTAGACCAGAACCACTTCTCATGAAGTTAGTAAACAATCATTATAGCATCCAAAGGATGAAAGGATAACATCCATCAAATGCGAAAACATGCATGTTAAAAGCTATTCCATCATTCTGTGCCTAATGTTTAGTACTCGGATCAAATGAAGGGGAGTATCAATTTAATGTTACCATGGGAATGCCAATATCATCGAGACTGAGCAATAAATCGTTCATAAGCACTACTACCCAAATTAGCAAATGCAGTATCACCTAAACGAAATCTAAAAATGGCCAGAGAATTGTGTATTGGATATTTGATACTCCTTATTCAACTTCTATTGATATGATGAGTAATTACATCATTGAAATCTTCCAAAACAAATCATCTAGCCAGTTTATTGGCTGTAATCACATTTGGCAAAGAGGAGACACAAAAGGAAAAAACTCCAAACCCGTTTTACATTTGAGGAAGCGAAAACATAATCCAACCCAAACAAAGGATCGAGAAAAATGAAATGATTTCGACAACTTTAGGGGTTGGTGAACGGAATTAATACAAAAGATTCAAACTCTGTGGTCGTGATTCAAATGCTGAGCACTGAAACAAGTGGTTAATCATAGAGATCAATTTCTAGACAAATTGCAATCTCAGACGATGAGATCCAATCCTACAGAAACCGAAATTCAAAACCCAGATCTGAATTGAAACTAACATTTCAGAATCCAGAATAAAAATTTCAGTACGTACAAAAGCAATCAAGCCTCAATCAATTTGGAAAATCACAAGCAGTTTTCTAGACGTAAGGATTTGGAGTTGATTCCGGCGAGCCTACCCCACTTCGTTTCGTTACAAGATAAGTTTCCCACAGGTATATACACGCGAAAGACAATCGTTTTGACTTTTTGTGATGTTCTACAGTTAAATAGAGCTTACCTCTTGATTACAAATTTTTTCACCTTTTCATAAATTTTGTTTATTTGTGTGTTTTATTGATTATTTGATAAAATAAAATATTCTTGTCATTTTTTATTTTGTAGATTTTTGTCATAGTTTTTAATATGTAATTTTTATTTTTTTATTAAATGCGAATTTGTAAACAAAATGATTTTACGAGATTAGAAATTTTGGCTAGTAAATTCAATTGTAATCAAATTTGGGACGGAAGGAGTAAAATAGATACTCCATCCCTCTTAAAATAAAATAGTTTCCCGTTTTGACTTGGTACAATTGTTTAGGAATAGAAAAAAATATCAAGATTCTAAAAACACCCCTACTTTGACTTGGGGTGAATTAATTTGAGTCGGTGTTAAAATAAAAGAGTGTTATTGATATTTACACTTAAAAAGTAAGCTAAAAAAGAAATGAAAAGAATATTTTCAGAGGGACCGAAAAGGAAGGTGACAAGAATATTTATGGACGAAAGAAGTATTTGATATTGTTATACAAATAATTTTAATAGATCTATTTTGTAAAATATTTTTAACATATTGGACCGATCGTCCGATCCTATGTTTGCTGGGTCCGATATCCATCAATCGGGTTTTTTCTAAAATTTGATACTCCCTCCGTTCACAATTAAACTTTACGTTCACTATTCACATGGTCAAACTTTGAAAGAATAATAAATTGGGAGGAAATTCTCTCTCGATTTCTTGTGTTTAATTTACAAAGAAGACATGTATATATAGGCTCTCACAAGTTGAGAAATCTAATCACAAAAGGAAACGAAATCAACCCTATACAAGGAAGCTACCAAAAATAATATATACCAAAATATATACGAATATTCTCTTTCCTTTAACACCCCCCCCCCTCAAGTTGGAGCATGTAATAACGAAATGCCCAACTTGGGAAGAAGAAACTCCCAACGTGACTTTCTGAGTGCCTTCGTATGAATGTCTGCAAGCTGATGCGTAGTAGGCACATGAAGTGTACGAATCTCTCCTCGCAAGAGCTCATCACGAACGAAGTGACAACTAATCTCAATGTGCTTCGTGCGTTCGTGAAAAACCGGATTAGCAGCAATGTGAAGTGTCGCCGTGCTGTCCACCGGACCGTCATGGGGTTCTTATGCACAACCCCTAAACACCGCAATACATTCTTCAACCACTTCAACTCACATGTTAGAACAGCCAAAGCTCTATACTCTACTTCAGCAGACGAGCGAGCCACCGTCGACTGCTTCTTTGTTTTCCATGAGACAGGCGAGTCTCCAAGCTGCACAAACCACCATGTCAATGACCGCCTCGTCAAGGGACATGCTGCCCAGTTCGAATCACACCATCCTGTGAGCTGAAGGCTACTGTCTGTAGAGAGGAAAATGCTCTGCCCAGGACATCCCTTCAGATAATGAACAACTCTAAGGGCCACAGACCACTGATCCTCCCTTGGTTTCTTCAAAAATTGTGCTAAAGTGTAGACGGCAAAAGAAAGTTCCGGTCGTGTAACGGAGAGATAGACCAACCTTCCTACCAACCGTCGATATGGTTCTAGATCTGCAAGAACCGGGGCTTGGGAACGAGCCAAGTGATGATTTGGCTCCATCGGGGCACCCAACGACCTGGCACCTAACAGAGAAAAATCCCAGACGTGCTCCTCGCCACCTCAATGCCAAGAAAGTATTTGAGTGTCCCCAAGTCCTTCATATGAAAACAATCCCCCAGATATGCTTTGAACTTGCTCACCAATTCTGAAGTATCTCCAGCGATAATTAAATCATCAACATAAACCAAAATATGTATTACTCCTTTCTTTCCAACGAAAGAAAACAAAGAGTAATCGGGAACAGACTGGACAAACCCATATCGTTTCAAAGCTCCAGATAACTTGGCAAACCAACACCTTGGAGCTTGTTTCAAACCATGCAAAGATTTCTTCAGTTTGCACACTACATTAGAAGAATTAGAAAAACCTGGTGGTAGTCTCATGTACACCTCATCTTCAAGATCTCCATGAAGGAACGCATTGTGCACATCCATCTGATGCAACTCCCAACCCTTCACAGCTGCAACAGCGAGAAGAGTTTGTACTGTAGTTAACTTGACCACAGGAGCAAATGTTTCCTTGTAGTCAAGTCCCTCCACCTGATGATTGCCAAGTATAACCAATCTGGCCTTATATCTCTCCACGCTGACATCGGACTTGCGCTTGATTTTATACACCCACTTGCAGCCAAGGGGCTTTTTATGACGTGGAGTGGCGACGAGCGACCACGTTCCATTAGCCTCCAGTGCATCAATCTCCTCACGCATAGCCTTCCGCCAGCATTCATCCTGGAAAGCCTTTTTGAAACTCGTGGGTTCCACTTCCTCGTCAAGTGCCGTGAGAAAACACTTGTGTTTGTCAGAGAACTTCTCATAAGTGACATATGAGGAGAGTGGATATCTGCACCTTTCCCCGCTATGTGGTCTAGTGACATGTGTAACATAATCCGCAAGCCTCACATTTGGACGTCTTTCCCGTTGACCACGCCCCAGGGTCTCCACTGCTTGTTGGGAAGTGGACGGTCGAACGCCGTCCATGGAACGGTCCATGGGGTCGACCGTCTGTAGCTGCGCTGGATCATCAAGTTTCTGCCTCGGGGACGGTCGACCGTCCTCCATGACGTGGTCGACCGTGGATGCATCTCCTGAAGACCCGTCATTCTACCCTTCCGACGGTCGACCGTGGTCATCAGCATGGTCCACCAGGTCGACCTCTGTAGCTCTTCTGCGTCTCCGTTTCTTGGCGGTCGACCGTTCCTCAAGGAACGGTCCATCTGTTCTTCCGTCCGCAGTTCTTCATCTTCATCATAAGAGCTAACCTCATTTGTACTTCCTGCATCAAGAGATGTACCTGTAGGAGTCAAGAAAGGGAAAATATCTTCACAAAACACAACATCCCCGGGACACCTTGATTTCTCCAGTGTCCGGGTAGTAAATACGCCATCCCTTCTTCCTTTGTGGATACCCAACAAATATTCTAGGATTGCTTCTTGATGCAAATTTATCACCATTCCTCTTCAAGTTATGAGCATAACATCTGCACCCAAAAACACGAATATGAGCCAAAGAGAGTGGCTTTCCATAAATCTTCTCGTATGGTGTGATCCCCCCTTAGCAAAGATGAAGGTGTGCGATTGATCAGATGTGCGGCGATCTGTATACACTCTCCCTAAAACTCAATCGGAAGACCAGCCTAAAACCTCAAAGCCCGACCCACATTCAAAATGTGTCGGTGCTTGTGTTCTACTCTCCCTTTCTGTTGTGGAGTAGACACACATGATATCTCATGAATAATTCCTTGCTCCCGGAAATATTCGTTTAGACATTCAAATTCTGTGTCATTATCACTGCGAACACACTTTATTTTCTTCCCAAATTGTCGTTCTACCAAAGCACAGAATTGTTTAAAAACAGTGCCAACCATACGTTTGGAATCAAGCAAATGTACTCAAACACCTCTTGAAAAATCATCCACAATGGTCAAGAACATTGTAGAACCATCAAAACTTGGAGTCCTATATGGTCCCCATAAATCACAGTGTATCATATCAAATTTATCAACAGATTGATAAAAACTTTTAGGAAAGCTCCCACGAGTCTGTTGAGCATGCAAACAAATGTCACAACAACTATGACTGCTCTTACTTGATCCAACTTCAGGAACAAGAGACAAAACATGAGAAGAAGGATGTCCAAGTCGTTTGTGACAAAGATCAAACTTACTCTCCTTCTTCGCACTGCACACCATCTTCTTTTCAGGCTCCTTGAAGTAATAAAGTCCTTCTTCCTGCTCACCCATACCAATTTCTGTCTTTAAACGCAGGTCCTGTAGTATACACTTATCGTTGGCAAAACGTGCCTCACAATTCAATTCCCTTGTTAATTGTGACACATATATTAAATGACAGCTCAAAGTGGGAACATATAGGACATTATGCAGAATTAATGTTTCTGTTAATTTAATCTTCCCAGATTGTACAGAAACAATTCTTTTCCCATTGGGCAAACCAATCTCACATGGCGATACTCCCACGACATCATGCAATAACGAAATATCACCAGTCATATGATTTGATGCCCCAGTATCTATAATCCAACGCGGTGATACAGGAATACTTGAAAGCTTCATAGATGACGATAGGGAGAAAACATGCCGAACAGCATTCCACTGTTCTGGAGTTAAATTATCAAAATTTGGAAACAGTGAGGATCCCCTCTCATGATTGTCCTCTTCTTTAGGTGAAACCACCTTCCTTGGTTGTTCATCGGCCATGGCGGTAGCAGAGTGGCATACGGCGGTGGCAGAAGAATCAACAGCAGCATCAACCAAATAATCTGCCGACGGGACGGTCGACGTGCTCGACCGTTCTAGAGCAACGGTCAACCATTCCGTTATCCGGCAACAACAACAACCGACTGAAACTAAGCAACGATCGATGGACGCCATGCCGGGCGATCGTGAACAGTAGTCGCTGAAAATCCCTAGGGTTTTGGCTCCGATACCATGAAAGAATAATAATTTGGGAGGAAATTCTCTCTCGATTTCTTGTGTTTAATTTACAAAGAAGACATGTATATATAGGCTCTCACAGGTTGAGAAACCTAATCACAAAAGGAAACGAAATCAACCCTATACAAGGAAGCTACCAAAAATAATATATACCAAAATATATACGAATATTCTCTTTCCTTTAACAAACTTTATTCACTTTGTTGGCCTATTTTCGTCACTCATTTGATAAAATAATATAGTCATGTCACCTCTAGTTTTGTAGATCTTTTGATATAATTTTTTAATATGTAATTTTTATTTTTCAATTCTACACCATTTTTCATATAAAATGATTTCAAAATAACTTCAGTCAAACATCGTAACGCGCAATGTAAAGTTTATTTGTGGACGAAGGGAGTATTTAAAATTTGTTTGGGTAGGATTTAAATTTGTGACGTCTAGCTTCGTGACAATAGCCAAAACCCAAAGACGTGGTCGTTGTTAAGTTGCGGTCCACGCCGTGACCACATTCGTGACGAAAACATAATTAATTAGAGTAACTTACCTAAATAGGACTAAAACATAATGACTTTCTAAATATAAGACCATATGTTTTTATTTCTTAATGTAGAACCATTGGTCATTATCTATTAGTCATTATGCAACTAAATGTCCAGCATCACTTGGACATTATTTTTCTCACTGGTCATTATTAAGTCCTATTTAAGGAATAAAAAAGTTTAAATCTTACATTGGGAAATGACTTAAGATTCTCACCAATCACCAAGAGGCTAGAGCCACACAAAAAGTAAAAATAAGTATGGCAGTAAAAAAACATTTGAATCCATGGATCTTAATACATGTGTCATAATTCAAAGATAGAAGTGTTTTTGAATCATGCCTATCAATTATTTTAAAGAAAAAAAAATTGAAGAGCTAGGAGTAATTAATTGCTCCGTACGTTGCCATGCAGTCATGCCTTCTACCTCTCCAATCTATTCCGATCCCTTTCAAATCGTCAGAAGCAGGCGTCTAAGAGGCAGCAACAACACAGAGCGGCCAAACTACAAAAATTAAATTACACATAATATATTATGTGATACACTCTCCCTCCCAAAATAAATTATTATTTTTGAACTATGTACAAAACCCCGTAATTTATAAAATGATTTTATTGACAAATTACTCCCTCCGTCTCTGAGTGTTTGTCCACTTTCATTTTTGCACACCATCCAATGCACTTTTTTAATCCATTTTATCTTGTAATTTGTATATTAAAAAATTATAAAAATTATATATTAATAATCTATATGTTAAGACGAATCAAACAAGATCACACATGACTATTTTTAGGCTTACACATTGAGAGAATTTGATGAGTCAAAGTGCTTAGATGAACAGTTCCAAAAGTCAAAAGTGGACAAACACTCAAGAACGGACCAAGTAGTATATATAGAAATAAAAAACAAAATTTACATATTTAAAAACTTAGGTTTTACTCCGTACAAAACAAAAGGTGACAAAATATTTGATTTTTTTCAAATAATCAATGAAAACATGCAAACAAACAAAAGTTATCGAAAAACTGTAATAGTGAGCAAGTACATCATTTCGAGACAGAAGGAGTATTTGTTCCGAAACACTAAAGAAATGAGCAGTAAATATACAAAGTGAGTTAATTTTCATCAAATTGACGAGGATGTACTAAAATTGATGTCCGTGGTCAATTTCTTTTTTAAACCCCTCTGAGATGCTTGAACAAAACGTAACATAAGTTTCAAGTGTTACTAAGTACTTCCTCCGTCCCACTATATTTATCCACTTTCATTTTTACACACCATCTAATACACTTCTTTAATACATTTTATCTTGTAATTTGTATATTAAAAAATTATAGAAATTATATATTAATAATCTACTCCCTCCGTCCCAAAAAGATTTACACCTTTCAAAAAAATTGCGTCTCACAATCTCCTACCCATTTCTATTAAAAAACTACTTTTATCCCTTACTTTTTCAAACCCTACCTATCACATCATACCTTTTTCCTAATAATCTACACATCACATCCTACTTTTACCCATCACATCAAGGGTATTTTTGGAAAGTCAACACAAAATTATCCCTTCATTAATTTCAACTTTAGTCAAAACGTGTAAATCTTTTTGGGACGGAGGTAGTATATGTTAAGACAAATCAAACAAGATCACGCATGACTATATTTAGGCTTGCACATTGAGAGAATTTGATGAGTCAAAGTGCTTAGATGAACAGTTCCAAAAGTCAAAAGTGAACGAATATAGCGGGACGGAGCTCTAAACATGCAATCAATAATTAACCAGTATTGGGCAACGATGAGTTGGACGTACCATCCTTCCAAGCAACCAGAGCTGTTGGGTTGCGGCGGCGGAGGCGGCGGAACCGCGTACTGAGGGGCGTACTGTGGCGGGTATCCTTGGGCAGGGTACCCTTGCGGAGGGTAGCCCTGTGGTGGGAGGTACCCTTGGGCGGGAGGGTACTGCTGTTGTGGGTAACCTTGTGGGGGAGGGTAGCCTTGTGCAGCCGCATCTTTGTTAGGGTTGTAAGCATCTTGCGGATAACCTTTATAAATATATATATGCAATGAATTCCAATCGACGACGATAAAGAAAACAAAGAATATAATTAATGAAAAATGTACTCTGTATATCAATGAATATATAATGCAAATCGAAACCAGACGTACGGAATTAAAGCCAATAATAATAAGGATCATATAATTAATAAGTAAATAAATAAAACATTATATAGAGCATGTATACCTTGAGGAGGAGGAATGCCGACAGGAGGTGGGGGTTGGCCCTGATGATTGTAATAGCTCATTACATATATGTATATATTACTCTGCTTGTTATTTATGCAGGCTATTAAGGGAATAGGAATGGATATGATGTGTATACAGTAAGTGATATGGATGATTATTTTAAAATGGCACTGCCATTAATTAGCTTCAGATCAGATCTGCATGCAGACCAGTTATGTTACCTTCAAGTAGATCTATACGGATCTCTATATACTTCCTCTCTCCCAAATTATAGTTGTTTAATACTCCGTACTCCTTAACTTTTACCATAAATTATGGGGAAAAAATATTTTTTCCGTTTAGTTTTTATCTTAAGAAATCACCCCGGTCAAATATGAGTAAAAAAAATACTCCCTCCGTCCGAAAATGTTTTTCCAATTTGACTTTTCACAGTCTCCAATATTGTACTTTGACTACTAATACTCCGTATCATTATTTATACATAGATATATTTTTAAAAAATTTGATATTTGAAAACTATGTTTCAATAGAAATATATTGATACTAAAGTTATTTGATAATACAATGTATCTTTTCCATATATCGGAGTCAAAGTTTATAAACTTTCACAAAAAAAAGTCAAATGGGAAGAATATTTCCGGACAGAGGAAGTAGCATTTATCTCCAAAATAAGAGTTCATGTTTTTACCCTCAAAATATGAATTTGTAGTGTGACATTATGACACTATATAATAGCATCCCACCGTATTTTTTATATTAACATTGTACTCCTATTTTGAGAATAAAGAATATAAAGCTCCTAATTTAAGGGAGAACTTCTTGGATAGGATAAAAAAATTATGAAAATACCAAAATAGGAGTCATAAGTATTTGTGACATTGTAACTGCTACATAATCACAACCACACTGTCATATGTCGCCTCCAGCCATCGGAGTGCCGCCGCAGATCACCGACGATTGACTCATCACATCAATATATTATATTATCATCACTTTTTCATCAAACTGTCAACACGTATTCTTACACCACACTGTCATTATACTCCTATTTTGGTCTTAAGAGACTCAGGACTCTTATTTTGGTATTTTAATATTTTTTTGCTCCTATCCAGATATATTTCTTCTAATTTAATACTCCCTCCGGTACTAAAAACATTTCATGTTTTGATTTTTTATTGGTCAATTAGTGACACTCTTTGACTATAAATTACGAGAAAAGTATATTTAATTATAAAGTAAATTTAATATTATTGGGTTCATATTAGGATGTAGTTTTGATATATCAAATTTTTATATCATTATTTATTTAGATTATTTTTAATATGTGGTCAAAGAGTCTCACTTTTTCACCAAAAAAGTCAAAACAAAAAATTCTTTTAGAACCAGAGGGATCTGAGTCAAAGACTCAAAGAGTCTCACTTTTTCACTATTTATTTAGATTATTATTGGGTACATTTCTCCATGCTTTACTCTTACTTTAATTTTCTTGCCTCTAATCTTTCGATTTTTCTTTTCTCTCTCTTCGAAATTTATCTTCCTATTTTTAAATAAGAAATTTTCGTAAATATAGGAGTAAAACATAGAGAAAGTACCAAAATAAGAGTTCCATGCTTTTATTTTCTAAATAGGAGCTCGCATTGTGGTAATGTGGCACTGTACATAAGCATTTTACAATACTTTTGGTAATGTACATGGTCATGATTAGTAATGTAAATGCATTTTAATTGTACTCCTATTTCAGGAATAAAAATACTGAATTTCTATTTTGGTACTTTCTCTATGTTTAACTTCTAATTTAGTTTTTTCCCTTTTTAAATCTTAACATAAAACCTACCCTAAATACCCCCCACCCAATCACTCTCTTCTTTTTCCCGGTCCCTTACTCGTCCTCCTTCTCCTTCTCCTTTTTATTTTTTCAGATCTGGCGGTGACTATGAAGCAAACGACGGAGATAACATTGGTAATGGATGGGGGCTGGGAAATAAGGTCTAAGAAAGGAGTGATGGTGGGGCTGGGGACGACGGTGGAGCTGACGCTGGCAGTGGGGGTTGGAGCAAATGTGGAGTTAGCGGTGGTGGTGGGCGCTGGGGCGATGGTGGGTGGGGCTAACAAATATGGTTGGAGCAAGGGGCTGTGGTGGAACTGGTAGCGATGGAGGGGCTGATGGTGGTGGTTGGGGTTGGATGATGGCGTGGCTTGTAAAGGAAGGACGCGAAGGGTACTTTAGACAAATTGTACCTCATAGTCAATTTTTTATAAAATTAAGATAAGTCAATGCGAAGTCAAGTTCCAGAGGGAGAAATCTAAATTTGCTAAAACTAGATTTTAACCCGTGCGATGCACGGTAAGAATATTATGTAGTATTATATTAAAATATATAAAATATAATTGACAATATAAATATGAACCGAGTACTATAAACATATCTTAAATAATGATAAATACTTCCTCCATTTCACAATATCTGCCTCATTTCGACTTATAATATATGACTAAAGTTATTTTTTAAATAATTTCATTTCAATATTAATGTAAAAATAAAAATTCTATGTTTTAAAATTATAAAAAATCTACAAAATAAGAAATGACATTGTAATATTACCTTCATCTGTAACAAATTGTAATTGTAGCAAATACACAAAGAATTTAGATTATTTTGACCATGTAAATGGAACTTTGTAATATCACATACTTCGTATAATTGCAATCAGTTCATAAAATTAATGCTTACAGTAATTAGATATTTAAATTATGTGTCCTTTAAATATTAGCATCATTTCATAAAATTGATTAGAATATATTAGTGAGAGATTTATAAAATGAGGACATACTCCGATCCATACTCTACACACAACCTTGTAAATAAAACTGATATATTACATACTAATATAAATGGCTAAACCATTGAAATAGAAGAGTACATCCATAAAAACAAAAACACCAAGCACCACAATGATGTTACAAAGCATCATAAAACAAAAGAGAAAAGCAAATGTACAGTAATAAAAAAGATAATTGGCTACCGAACAACCACAAAACCTTAAGATTCAATACAAATCTCAACAGTAAAAGCAGTTAATCCAATGGAGTATACTCCCATAATTGAGCCAAAGATGCTGTTCAGTAAAGCAAGTACACTCATGTGATGAATACTAAAAAGGGCCTCATACATTAGAAAGTTTGGCAAGGATAAGGTATTTCATGACAAAACATGGTGAGCTGGTTCTATGGATCCACATTCATTGTTATAGAGTATACTTATTAGAGTCAATAGCCCGTGTAGAACTATGACCAAGAAATATGACCTGTGTAAATAAACAATTGCAGAAAAAAACCGTTGAAAAACCTTGCATAGCTTATATTCCAAATTGGCCATTACTGTCTAGCCTGAACATTACTAAACTCTTGTAGAGCCTGCTGCAAGGAAGGATAAAGGCTTATATGAAGCTCTTAGATAGCTAAAACATCATGTGTACAAAAGTGTACATTAGGTAATATAAAATGCAAGTGGTTATGCAAAGATAGCTAAGCATCAAAGCCTTGTCAAAGAATACTCTAAAGGATAAAACACCCAAAACAAAATGAGCATGATTAACATCCAATAGCTATCCAATAGAGGTTAAATCTTCATATGTTTCAAGTTTGAACTCATTGGGATAATTTGCAAATTACCATTTTGAATGCCTTGGTTTCTCTTCTCTTAACGGGAGCAGTTTCATGCACATCATTTTGAGAAGACTTCTGCAAACAATGAGGCCATGGTCAAATAATCAAATATAGATCAACTATAGATATCATTATATTACATACCCATTTCCGAGTCTTTGCATTTGTAACAAAATAGGGTGATATATAACCACGGGCAAGTTTCATCCCTTCTGCCCCTTTCAATTCATTATCCATAATATTTCCATCCTGCTCAAGTTATAAAGTTTCAACAACATGTGCTTACCATTATATACAGGACTAAAGGAATCGTATAGACTATGTATGAACGTTACTCACAGTAACATTAATGACACCATCCTTGCCTACTTTCTCCATTGCATGTGCTACTAATTCTCCAATTTCCCTCTCACAATTTTCAAATAGAGTTGCTATCTATTCCGATACATACCAACTCAATTATGGAGTACAACAATCATATCACAACACCAAATTGAATTTCAAAGAATTTACCATTGAGACAATTTGACGAACACTTGGAAGGCAAGACATACCTTGTCAACAAAGTTCGAAGAATTTGCACCCACATAGCCATACTCACACTTGGCCATCAAACCTATGCTAGCAATTGTCTGCCCATTTTGTTCTTAATAATAAAAAAGTCTTACTGAGTGGGAAAAAATTCACAAATTTGAGGAAAATAGCAAGAAATATTTTATAAATCTATGAAACACAGAAAACAAAAACGCACCTAAGGTAGTCAATTTCCCAAAATGGAATCTTTGTTCATGGACGCCAGTAGGTTCTCCTCCGATGCTCTCATCAGTTCCTCGTCCTTCACCTGCTTCTCATGAGAGCAATGGCTTAGCGTTCCTTTTGACTGGATAGGGATGGAAGGGGGGGATAAAGATGAGAGTGAAATAGTGGGAAGTTAGGCGGTTCTGATGTGGTGAAACTGTTCCCACCTAAAAATCGTCGTAGGTCACGAATTTGATAGAAACAGAGAGATGAAATTGGTGGTGAGATGGTGGCGTCTTCTGATCGTGCGTTTAGAGATAGTGCTTGGACGGTTGGGTGTTGGAATCGTGCCTGGACGGTTGGTGCATCACTTGAGCGGGAATTTTTTCCTGCTGCTATTGTAAATAGAAGGATTAGGTTCATTTCTAAATGTACGGAGTAGTTTTGATAGATCATATCGGATTTTAATAAATTTATTTATTTAAATTATTTTTAATTTATAGTCAAAATTAGCATAAAAATGAACTTAGGATTAATAATTTGAGACGGAGCAAGTAGATTTAGGAAGCCCATATCAGTGATCTAGGGTGCCATGGAGGGTTTGGGTGGGCTTTGAGGGAAAGAACCATCAATTTTACCAACGCGAAACCGTAGATGTCTTGGGTCATAATTTGACCTAGCTTTCAAAGTCAAAAGACTCTTGCTGTATTGAAATTTATCGAAGATTAAAGTTCGTTTAGTTTGACTAAAAAAAATAAACTAGACAAATACACAAGGACTACAACTAGTAATTTAAAACATTTTGTTCTCAAAAAATACATTTAAATAACTTAATTAGAAATTTACTCTATCCGTTCCAAAATGATTTACACTATTCAAATGACGTATGGAATCTCGTAACATTTAAGTTTGTTTTATTTATAAATAAGTATAAAATTAAAAAATACAATTTATATATTTTAAAACCGCATCAAAAGTTCTAAAAAAAATAAGCAAATAGTCAATGAAAAAATCAAATAAATAAAAGTTAAGAAGTAGTAAAATTAAATAGTTGTCTAAATCATTTTCGAACAAAACAAGTATTTTTCTTAAATTTCGTAAAGTTGAAAAAGAACTTTAACACTATTTGGTTTGTGAAATTCAAAAAGGAAAAAGAAAAAAAAATAAATTTTCTCTCACAAAATTGGAAGAAAATCAATTTTCCTTCCATTTAGGGGGGTGTATCCAATCCAGATTTTTAAAGATTCTGGCAGATTATTTTGATTCCATGGATTCTGTAAAGTCAGTGGATTATTTAAAATCTGTGCAGAGTTAGATAAATTTTGATGTATTTTGTTAGTAGGATTTTATAAGATTGTGATGGATTGCTTATTATCAATGGATTATTTATATATACATTTGAGTTATTTTAAAAATCTATGCATTATCCTAACATTGATTATTGCTTATGAAATTGACCAAAAATTTTAAAAATAACATTATAAAATAAAAATAAATTATTTTTAAAATATTATTATTATTATTATTATTATTATTATTATTATTATAAAGCTCAACACCAACATATAATATTGCTTTTTGTTTTTTACTAAAGTTAATCCTCATAATTGATTTTGATAATTGGAAACTTTAAAACACTAGCTCAATTCTTTCGACTAATCTACCTTCAATTAATGAACAAAGAGGGGGATTTTGTCTTCATGAAATTTCCAGAAGAAAATAATTGGTGTTGTACGAAGAAAACTTGATGCTGCACGAAATTGACATGTTCTTCCTTCAGATCTGTCTGCTGATAACGAAAGATGGGACCAAATTATAGTTGAAGAAAGTATTGATGAAGAGACTCACGACACAGGAGGCTGGTGAATTTTGTGACGGCCTTGGTGCCTTCAGACAGCGTGCTTGGCCAATTCTCGAAGAACCAATCGCGCGGCGGTCTGGATCTCGTGGGAATTGATGGTGGGATGCTGTTTTCCTTCGCCGGCGGGAAGAAGGCCGGTGTCGACGATTTATCTGGGTAACGTAGATGTTAGGGTTTTAGGAGTAGATGAAGAACGACTTCAGGCTGAAAGAGAATAGGGGTGGGCAAAATCCCATGGTTTTTGATTGGATTTGTAAATTGGATTTGTATTTATACCCAAGGCATGAAAATCTATCAAAATCCACAGTTTTTAAAATCTTTAAAAATCCATCAATTTTTGAATACCAACATATTTAGAAAGATTTTTTAAAGTTTGAATAGAATACACCTAGATTTTAAATGATTTTTTAAATTCTGAATTGAATACCTACGGATTTTCAGAATCCAAAAAAATCTATCAGAATCCGGATTGAATACACCCCCTTAGTTTATTCCTACTTACATTCACTTTTCCTTCTACTTTTTTTTTCCTCTCCACGAAACAAAAGAAATTATTTTTTCACCCTTAATTTCTTTCTTTTTTATTTCTAAATTCTTTGAACCATGACAATGTAAGACGGAGGAGGATTTTAGAAGGTGAGCAAAAGAGGGAGCAGATAAGACCAAGAACAGAAACCAACAGAATCACGACTTATTCATTCATCATCACATTCAAAGGGTGGTTTCCCTCACTTGGAAAAAACACAAACATTAATTCCTCAAGTGGAATCCCAAATTCCCCACTAGAAAAATCGCATGTACTACATGCAAAAGTGTTTTTTTTATTTTATTTTTAAAAATGTCAAATCTCAAATTCAATTATCCACCCCTTCTCATTCTTATTCAATATTCCTTTCGTCTCATAGTATTTGTCCACTTTTATTTTTACACATCATCCAATGCACTTCTTTAATCCATTTTATCTTGTAATTTGTATATTAAAAAATTATAGAAATTATATATTAATAATCTATATGTTAAAACAAATCAAACAAGATCACACATGACTATATTTATTAGGCTTACACATTGAGAGAATTTGATGAGTCAAAGTGCCTAGATAAACAGTTCTAAAAGTCAAAAGTGAACAAAAACTGGGGAACGGTGGGAGTACAAAATTCTTACTCCATTTGTTCTTGAAAACTGATTCCTAGTTTGACTAATTGTAAAAATAAAAAAGTGTCAAATTGTAATTGACTTTCGATTTTGTATTTTGTGTGATAGATAAGTTATTAGAGAAAAAGTATGATATTAAAGATGAGATATGAAACAATAAGGATAAAAATGGTTTTTTAATAACAATAGAAGTGTTTTGTTGGAAATAGAAAAAAATAAAAGATGAAATATTTTTTTAGAACGGAGGAACATTCCTTTGAATAATAACTAAGAGATATTTGTACTAAATAGTACTAAAACTTAAGTCATTTCCCTAAGTAGCACTAAAACATTAGTCATTTTCCTAAATAGCATTTAAATTCCTCTAATTCTATTCCTACTAAAACAATAATTTTATCAAAATAGAAAAATTACCAATTCCTAAAACATATTCCAACAGTAAAGTATCACCTATCAACAATAAGATTATTCATAATAGAAATACAGAGTTTACAATATTATGGAAGCTTATTCAATCAGAATCACAAAACATAATTCATTTATGTCTTTTAAAATAACAGTTCAAAACCTTCACATCTATCTTGACAATCTTGCCTCCATCTAAGACTATTTTATTTGATTAACAAGACTCTTAAATTGTTTAATCAAATTCCTATAAAATAAAATAATTACTTTTAGAATTTAATATTAAGCAAATTCCGATTATTATAGGTTTGAGAATATAATATTAATCAAATTCCGTATATTATTTCCTTGGGATAAACTAGAATAAGTTTAAGACAAATAATAATTAGACCCTTAATTTGGTAATGTGAAATTATACACTTACATATTTGATAGCATTGTTATCTTTGACATTGTGGATTCGGTTGGCATTATAATGGTGTCACCGCCAAGGGAAAAAACTTTCAATATAATGCTAAGTATAATCACAATGTCAAAGATTATAATGCACACTGACAATCATGTCATTGCATACTTAATGTCTAATGATGATGCAATTTTTCATAGAAAAAAGAATGAATGCAATTAGTTTGATGTATTTCTTACTTCTACGATGCAGTCTTATTTATAAAGCATTTGGAAGCTAATTAAAAATCAAAATCATATATGGCGAAGCAGCGCACATCAGCGGCTAAGGTTCAAACGGTGTAGTTTGAAGCAGCTGATCATGGCGGTAGTGACGGAGATTAAATGGACATCGACATCAATGATCGTAGAGGCGTTGTGTCAGCGGTGGTAGAGGCGCGGTATCAGCGGAGATAAGGGCGTGGCAGCGGTTGGGGTGTCGGCGTTGCCGATAGCGGCAAAGCACAGTTGAGCGGCCATTGATGGAAATTTTGTACGGTTGAACAGCATTGGCATGGCACAATTGAGCATGGAATGATAAATTAAGTGGAGAAGAGGATACTCCTATTTTGGGGGTTTTATCTTTTAACTCCTATTTTGGGATTTAATCAATGTTTTACTCCTATTTTGCTCCTTAACCCATACAAATATATAAAATAAAATATATGCTTCTCATCTCAAATTAGAATGTACTTTTGAAAACAAAAGATTTTTTTTAGAGAATATAACAAAAGAAAATGAAAAATAAAATATTATGTACAAAGTAAAAATAAAAATAGTTTGAAAAGGTAATAATAGTCTTTTTCTTTAACTCCATATTTTATGGGGCACACCGTGTGCACCCTATTAGATTTGATCATGGTTTAATACACCGCTCTCATTGAGCGATGGAGACCGGAGGTGCATGCACCTACCCTATTATAAATTTGAACATCTTTATGTTCTTAATTTCGTATGTACAATTATGAATTAGACCTTTTTATGTTGTTAATTTGTTATGTTTTTATTACGAAGTTGAATTCTTTATGTTATTAATTTGTTATGTACAATTATGAATTACCCTAGAGTATAACTTTTTTAATTGGTAATTGGTTATGTTTAATTGTAAATTATAAAGGAAACAAAAAAATTGTTAATTTGATAATTACTTTTTCAATTGGTAATTTGTTATGGGCTTTTATGAATTACGGAGTACCCCGAGTATAAAGGAAACAAAAAATACTTAATTACATAATTTTTTTACAATTTCGAAATACGAAGGAAACCAAAAAAATTCTTAAATTGATAATTTTTTTTTAAATTTTGAAATATGAAGGAAACCAAAAAAATTCTTAATTTGATATTTTTTTAAATTTCGAAATATGAAAAAAATCGAATTTCATTAATTTTGCATGTACTACATGCAAAATCTTTTTAAAAAACTGGGAAAAAGTTTGAGTGGTGAAAGTTTGATGTTGATGTTTTTTTAAATTTCGAAATATGAAAAAAATCGAATGTATTTAATTTTGCATGTGCTACATGCGAAATTATTTTTAAAAATACTGGGAAAAAATTTGATGTTGATATTTTTGCATGTAGTACATGCGAAACAAAAAAAATTAAAAAAAAAAAAAGAAATTGCATGTTATACATGCGGAAGTTGGAGTGGGGAATTTGCTCCTCCAAAACTTCCCACTGAGGGAATTGCTCCCACATTCAAATCTACAGTTAACAAAGAAAAAGAGGTGATATGATATGGATCCGATTCAAATAAAAACACGAACTGGAAGCAAAATACAGATCAGATCAAGTATCAAATGAAACAGGAAACCAAATCTTCCGCGCCGTTGTCGTCAGAGCATTCGCCGCCGTTCGTTGCCGTTGCCGGCTTGGCGCGGCGGATTTAGGGTTTGGGGTTAAATTAACAGTTATTAGAGGAGGGGGGTAGGTAACTAGGAAAGGGGGACTTGTTGGAGATTCTTGTGGATGAGGCGGCGGGCCTTGCGGCTGCCGATCTCCACCTTCACACTCTTCGTCTTGACGATCATCGAGTACGGCTTTTCCCCCGCCGATTTCTTCCTCCCCAGTTTCTTCACCCTCGTCGTTATTGATTTCACCAGCCCCTCCAGCACTGATTGGTATTGGTTCCCCATATATATTATCACAGCACTTCTTTCAACTCTTTTTTTTTGTTTGAAGTTTAATGGCCCAAATATAATGAATGATTTCTGCCGGAGGAGAATTATGGGGGCAGAGAGAGACTGAGAGAGAGCAAGGAGTTTCCACCGGCTATCTGTTTTTATTTATGGTGCTAATAATAAATAAATGGGGCGTGGTGGCTCTATAAATATCTCATCGTCATATAAGTTGACTGTGGATGACATTGACCAGGCCGCGGGCCCACGTACGAAAATCGTCCGGTTCTTTGAACCACCATATAAACGCCGACTCTCGAAATTAAAAAGTCAGAAGTCTCGAAATTAAAAAGGCAGCGACGGACTTTGATTTCTATCCGGGCGTTTATTGCGTATTCCCTCCTACTTCCTAGTTCCTACTGAGTCTACATTACTGATGAATTACTCCTCCCCCTAGATTATAATGCATGTTCACTATTCACAAGGTTAAATTTGATTCACTTTCTTTTTCAATTTTCGTTAGCAATTTGATAAAATAAAGTACTATTGTCACTACTAGTTTTGTAGATATTTTGATGTAGTATTTTAATATGTAATTTTTATTTTTAAACTTTATACCATTTTTCATATAAAATGATTTGAAAATAATTTCAGTCAAACATCGTAAACCGAAACAGGCGTTATAAAATGGGACGGAGGGAGTAATAAAATTCCATTTTTCAGTTTTCACTTACCAATTTATCAATAATGATCCAAAAGAGATACTGCATTACTCCCTCCATCTCAGAATGGACATTCACATTATTTTTGGAACGACGTGGGAGAGGGAGGGCCAAAACACACATAAGAAAATATATTGATATTTTCTTCATCATTCCCAATTATATTGCTATATTCAAGTAATATTCTAGGAAGAGATTACTCAGGGCCGGTCCTAAGAATTTGATTGTCTGGGCCGAGACGGGGAAAAAGACCCTAAAGTCTTTATCTTTATTGGTTGAACGAATTAAAGTGTGTAAACATGTGTATGACACACAAGATTAAACCACAATAAAAATGAAACACACAAAATGCAATAAGTTTTAAAACATTAAAAATATGTACATCAAAAATACATGGAATATAGGAATTTAGGGTTTTAATAACTTATTAGAAGTCGAGTACATGTCGGGTCGGATCGGGTACAGGTTGGGTCAGTCAATTATACTAACCCAAACCCGACCCGATAAAAGTCGGGTTCGGTTTAAATTTTTTTGGGTCGGTTTCGAATATTTGATTTTTCGGTTCGGATTCGGATATTACAAGCTCCGGTCAGGTCGGTAAAAGTCAGATTCGGGTAGAATTGCCATCCCTATGTGTAAAATAATTACATTTAAATAACAATTAACATACTAGTTTTATAAAAAATGATTAAATGACAAAATATTAATAAGGGTCCCCAAACCAATGCCTTGAAAACTAGATCAAATATCGATCTAGATGAGCTAGTAGGTCAAGGGTTAATCAGTCGATCTAGAGATTAACGACCCGATCAACTATAATTAAAAGAAATATTTTATATTACTCCCTCCGTCCCATAAAGTCAGTACCGTTTCGAAACAATTGCGTCTCTTAAAGTCTGTCTCATTTCTATTAAAAAACCACTTTTAGCCCTTACTTTTTCATACCCCACCTATCACATCATACCTTTTTTCTAATAATCTACCTATCACATCAAGGGTGTTTTTGGAAAGTCAACACAAAATTATCCCTCCTTTTTTTATCACTTTAGTCAAACCATCCCAATCTTTATGTGACGGAGGGAGTATATTATTAGATGTCTTTAACTAATAAGGAATTTTAATTTGTGTTTTTCGTTCACTCTTCCATCTTGTTTCGAATATAATATAATTTTGCATATATTGTTTCACTTTCTATTTTTTATTTGTATTATTTTCTTATCACTATTAAAGATAAATAATGAATATCTAATAAATAATCAAATAGTTAGGCAAATCTCATGTTTTTAAAAAGTAAAGACTTGATAATGTGTTCTTATATAATACTCCGTAATTCATATGTAACATGTCACACTTATATTTATTTGATTGAAATGAGAAAAGTAAAAGAAAAAATTAAATTTAATATATTAAAGAATAATTAATAAATATTTTTTAGTTTGAATTGATGAAAATAATTTTTTATGTATTTCTTTTTTGAAAAAATATTTTTTAGGTATAAGTATTCAAATTAATTTTTAGATAAAACGCAAAATATTTTAATTATTTTTCAAACTATTTTCATAAGCTCATAAAACAATTATATAAGATACTACTTATGTTTCTTTTTCTAAACAATTATAAGTTTTAATGAAATAACAAAAATAGGTATGTATTTGTTACTGTGTGGTATATATTTGTTACTGTGTGGCATGAAATAACAAAAATAGGTATTTATTACTTACTAAATACGGAGTATATAGTTTTTTAGAAAAAATTGGGCCTCTAAAACCTTGGGCCCGGTCCGATAGGGCTGCTCGTCCCACCCCGGACCGGCCCGGAGATTACTAGCATATTCTCTTCTTAGAACGCTGTTCATTGTTCCTGTGAACGCGCTAGAGGTTGGATATGTGGCTACGTTCTTTGCACCAATCCCTTCACCTACACAGTCCGATTTGTTTTCTACGAGAAAAAGGTATTCTTGTTTACAACAATTTATAGTTTTCGTAAGATGATCTTGAGTCGTATTGTGGTAACGAAGATTGGGTTATAATATTTTGTTTTCTACGATGCTATCCATGCTTGATTACCCAATAGTGGTATCAGAATCAGCTTACGAAATTATAAATTTTGTAGATTTGTTCTCGTTAAGGTTTTCGGTAATTGATAAATTTAGTCCAGATATGTATGAATTTGAAAGTCACCCAAAATAATATAAAGTGAAAAAAAAATATGGTTCTGTACATTAAATCATTCGAAAATATGTTTTTTTCATTAATTTTGAATTATTTTTCTATTTAATCTATTAAGTGTAGGTTTGCAGTTTAATTGGTTAAAGTACAAAATAAATACATAATAAATTATAAAAATTCTGGAATGTTAAAATATGATTTTAAGCATTCTGGAAATATAAAATTTAATTTTCGAAATTAAATTCCTTATTTTGAGTATTGATTTGAATTTGTAATTAATTTGATCAATCACAAAATAAATACAAGATAAATACGGAAAAATGATTTTAAATATTTTGGAATGTTGAAGTCATATTTTAAGCATTCTGGAAAATTAAAATAAATTTTTGGATTTAAGTTTTGATTTTTCGGATTTAATTTGGTCTAATTCTTAATTAATAATGATTAATTACAATTAAATTTTAAAGTCCAAATATATGATTTTATAAATTTGAAAATATGATTATCATATTGTGTAAAGTTATTTGGGAATATATCCTAAAATTAAAATAACTAGTATCACACCCGTGCGTTGTACGGGTCATTTTTATGTTATTAAATTCAAAACATTTATCAATGATAAAAATGAGATGTAATAGAATATAGAGATTATGTTATTATAAGTTAAAAAACATCACTGCTTTACAAATTTCGAAAGACTTTTTTATAGACTACATTATATGCACAATTTGTGGGAATAGTATAATAAAATTTGGTAAGTGTAAAATAATTATTCCTACCATAATTATTTCTTAAACGGTGTGATTTTTTAGATTAGACCGTGTTATATTTTTGCCATTAATGGTAGTACACGGTAAATCACACGGTATTAACAAATTGCAATTATGGTAATTCCCAATTTCAAAAATGGTATTTTTTTAGTTTAATAATATAACGGTTTTAAAGTAATACCGTATAACTTTTTTTGCTATTAATGGTAGTACACGGTAAATCACACGGTATTAAAAAATTGCAAATTGCAATTATGGTAATCCCCAATTTCACATATGCTGTCATTTTAGTTTAATATTATACTCTATTTAAAGTAATACCGTATAACATTTTTTGCCATTAATAGTAGTACACGGTAATTCAAACAGTATTAACAAATTGCAATTGCAATTATGGTAAGTGGCCGTAAGTCCCATTTGTTAATACCGTGTCACATTAATTGACATTTGTTAAGGTAATAAAAATTACCATTTGTTAATACCGTGTAATATTAATTGTCATTTGTTAATGACCCAAAAATTACCATTTGTTAATACCGTGTAATGTTAATTGCCATTTGTTAATACCGTGTAACATTAATTGACATTTGTTAATGTAATAAAAATTACCATTTGTTAATACCATGTAATATTAATTCCATTTGTTAAAATTTCTTTTTTTTTGCAAATCTGGACTTATAATTGTTTAACTTTCTTTTTTAATTATTTCCAATTATATTAATCACGTTTAGTATTATAACTTACCAAAAAAAGAAATACCGTGTAATATTAATGGCCAAAAAAAGAAATACCGTGTTATATCAACTTACCATTGCCTTTTTAATTATTTCCAAATTATATTAATCACGTTTAATATTATTATTAGTATTATTATTATTATTATTATTATTGTTTCTTAAAATTTCATATTTTGCGAATCTGGACTTATAATTGTATAACTTTCTTTTTAAATTATTTCCAATTATATTAATCACGTTTAATATTATAACTTACTAAAAAAAGAAATACCGTGTAATTTTATTTGCCAAAAAAAGAAATACCGTGTAATATTAACTTACCAATTATATTAATCACGTTTAGCATTATAACTTACGAAAGGAACTCTACGGAGTGTACCAAAAAAAAATACCGTGTAATATTAATTGCCATTAATTGCCTTATTATTTATTATGGTTAGTACCGTGTAATATTAATTGCCATAATTAGGTTGGCGGAGGCCATTTTAACGAAATAATTTAATATTTAATTTAATTATTTAATGTAATTGAGTCATTACAATTTTAAGTGAACAATTGTCATTTTTAATGCAATAACGCATGGGCGGGAAAATCATTTCTTGAATCTATGTCTTTTTAAATAATAGAAATCACCCCTAATAGGACTAAAACATTGTGCTTATCCCTAAAATAGGAGTTCATGTTTTTTATCCTCCAAATAGGACCTCTCCCGCCACATTCTTTCTTTCTCTCCCGATTTTGCCCTCTTTTTCCTTTCCGTGTCACAATTCACAATCTGCCCCGTCTACATTACAACTCTTTGT